CCTCTTATTTTTTCTGTAACCTTGGAAAAGTCACTTGACCTTTCTAAATTTCCTTATCTACAAAATGGTGATATTTCCTACCACCGAGGGTAGTTGTGAAGATTAAAAGCGTTAAGAATGTAATATGCTTACTACAGTGCTAAGCATATAGTAAGTCTGTGTTACTGTTATATTAAGACCTGTGTTAACTGACTCCCAATAGTTGGCAAATTTTTTATTGTGCCAGTTAGAGAGAAAGAATAAGTTCATGATACCTTTATTTAACTCAAAGATTGTGAGAGGATTCTCCTTTCGGATCTTACTGTTTTCAAAGGTGATAAAGATAGACTGCCCCTTAAATTTGAGACCTATACTCTAGTTCTTTTTATAATAGAGGACTTGTTCTATTCTAGCCTTTGGCTATATTTTTCTCTTACTCAGAGTTATTCAATGGGCTTTTCCTTTTAGTCTTCTCAGAAAGTCTGAAGATCCATATAATCATTCATGTGGTAGGTAATATGTTTTTAGTAATTAAGCTTATTTTAAAAATAGACATGTCTTGTTGGCTGTTTTCCCAATCTATAACATTTGAATTAAAAATACTTCCAAGTTATTGCTCAGCTGTATGATTAATGTTATTTAACATTAAGCTTACTGTGTCCAGTTTGTCCCTTATCAAGGGTAGAAAGTAAAATATTCAAAGTCAGTGTATTGAATTTCTAGGCTAATCTTTATTTCAGTCCACCAATAGTTCACCCCACCTATGGTATTTCCAGTAGTGTCTATAATAAATGCCATGCTCTGGTTATCCATAAGTTACCTAGAGCTTCAGATCCATTTACAGATAATTACAAATCTGGAGCTAATAGCGGTCTAATCCTTGAGTAGGAATCTAGGTATCTTCAAATAGATGGCTTTTTTTAAACAAAATCCTTTTTAACAATAGCTCACAGGTCGAATTGTATAAATCGGGGATTCTTTGACATTGTGAATTTATCCCTACTGCATATTCTGTGTTAACTAATACAAACAATTGTGTTGCCAAATTACAACACAATTATATTTATTATTTATAGTTTAACAAAAATACTTATGTTTACAAAATAACTGCAGGTATCTCTTTGAAATGCATATGGCACATCTAGAAGAACAATAAATTAGATTGTTCCTGATTTTAGAGGGAAAAGACATTAAAAATTTGTGGGAAAGATGATTAATGTGCTTAGCTTTCACAGAATACCATTTAAATCTCTTCACATTCCTCAATTAAAACTGACTTCTGGAATTCAAACCAAATGCATTTGTCAGATATTTCTCGGAACACTGATAAACAAAAATGGAAACTTTCAAAATAGAAAATTTTTCATAGTTAGTTAACTTACTTTGAAGTTGTTCTACTCCTTTTGAAAAGCTATTTTGTACTTCTGGTGTAAAAACTGCCTTGATCAGGGAGTTTCCTAAGCTTTTTGTAGTGAAGAAGACCTCAGGTAGTCACTCCGACTAAAGAGATACTCTGTTCCCTTGTTTAAAAGTTTAAATTATTCATATTCATTTGGTACACTTTATCTCTTTTAATCAGTAAACCATTCCGGTGTTGTAAGGAATGATTGGCCTAATTTATTATGGGCGTTGAAGGTTATTTTGACCTCAGACTGTCAGATTTGTAGCTTCCCCATCAGATGAATGGTTTGCTTATTATTTATTTTTTTGTGACAGCCATCAGAACAGTGTTTGTTTCTGGCTTGTCATAGTAATTTAAGTGTGTCGTGATGAGAATATTTATTATGGGTTATCCCCAGTAATTAGAATTCTTTTTTGTCTTTTGACAACCTGTATTAAAGTAGAAATGGGAAATTATTATTATCATCATTATTATTATTATTTTGAGACTGAGGTTTGTTCTTGTTGCCCAGGCTGGAGTGCAATGGCACAATCTTGGCTCACCACAGCTTCCACCTCCCGAGTTTAAGTGATTCTCCTGCCTCAGCTTTCCAAGTAGCTGGGATTACATGCATGTGCCACCACGCCCAGCCAATTTTGTATTTTTACTAGAGGTGGTGTTTCTTCATGTTGGTCAGTCTGGTCTCGAACTCCCAACCTCAGGTGATCCACCTGCGTTGGCCTCCCAAAGTGCTAGGAGGTATGAGCCACCGCGCCTGGCCAGGAAATTACTTTAAAACAGCACCAGTTAAGATGTTCATATACCTTTATAGGTATAGAAAATTGTGGTTGATACCATTTAATTTTCTCCCTCTATAATTTTAAGCTGTAGAAATCTAATGCTACACGTAAGAGATTTGTTTTCCCATATGTTTTGTTAAAAAAGTCACTGGTGTTTGATTGTTCTTTGACCACATACCCCATGTGTCTTAAAGGGTTTTCTGGTTTCTTTTTTTGTTATTTTTTTCTTGGTATGTTAGCAGTGGTCAGTTTCTTAGTTTTGGTTTTGAGGAATAGTCCCAACACTTGAGAATATTACCACTGATGATTCTCCATTTTTAAAATAGTAATAACAATAAAAAGGAAGTGATTACAGACATGCCAAATTCCTGCCTTTATATAATATTCTGTCCTCTAAATAACTGTGTGTTTCCTGTATGGCCTAAAAGATTAAAATGAGCCTCTTTCTAGTATTGTTAGTGTAAATTGAGCTCATACTGAGAGACTTCTTAGTGGAAAGGTGGAAGAATGGATTGTCATGTAACTAGCTCTCTTCTAAACAGAATCATATACTCTTGTTTATCATTTCTGCCACCTGTCCCTCTTAGCTGGCTTTAGTTCCCATCCCTGGGAATGACTTTGCACTGCATGCACCCTTTTCACTGACAGTCAAGAGTAGAACCACACTTCCAGGAGTGATGATAGGCAGTTCTCATGATTCAGAGCAGAAGATTCTCGTCCTGGTGTTCAGAGTATTCTTCTAAATCAGATAAGCAAATAAGAAAATATATTCTTAACTAACTACCAACTGGTAAGTAAGTTTTCCCTGGCCCTCTCTTCATAACAGTAAGGCATTAGAATGGTTAAGAAAATTCTGTCTTTGAAAGTTTCAAATGGCTATTCTATAAAAGTTGCCCTAAGAATCCCAATTTGAGACTTCGTAAAGATCTTTCATGTTTCCTATTCTCTTTTATATTCATCCATGGTACAAAGATTAATTGCATGAGGTTCCCTCCATTTTTATTTTGTAATTTTATACTTCTGGCCCTTCCCCTTCCAAAAGGCTACTTCATATATCCAGCAAAATGTTCTAAGATGTCTACCCTCCTCCACCCAAGACAGAATCGATCATCTTTGATACCTACCTGCTTAGTCTCCTGAATCTGCTACTGTGTGTAATTCCCCTTATTGGCAACACCACTCACCAGGTCAGCTCTACAGATTATTTTTAGCCTAATTCAGTCCATTTTTTAAAATTAATGTGTATATCAAGATAACTACATCACTATATGTTTGCAGCTAAATAAGCTTCTGTTTAAAAAACATTCTTGGGCAAACAAAGACCCGCGTTTTTTAGTTGCAAGAGACTAGTTTCAACCCAGTTATTTATCACAGCATGACAGCTTATGTATCTTAAACTCACATTACAGATTATCTGCTTTATATATTTTTAGAAATGGGGGCTCTGTTCTGGGAATTGAATCCCTTTGCTGTTATCTACTTTTCTTAGACTAACTACTTTTAATAGATAAATTACTCATGTTGTTGAAAAACTAGCATTATAGAAAAATATACAGCGAAAAGTCTCCTCATTCTTATCTCCTAGCTCCCTAGTTCCCATACCGTACTCCTCAATAGGTACCCCTTATTCTTAGTTTGTAATGTATCCTTCCAGAAATTTGTTATGCAGTTATTGGCAAAAATAAAAGTGGAATATTATTTGTCTCTTTTTTACACAAAAAAATAGCGTCTGTGCACATTCTGCAACTTTTTTTCACTTACTATATCTTTGCTACTTTTATATCAGTATATAGAGAGCTGCCCTACTCCTTTTAAAAGCTGCAAGAATTCTATTTTATGGAAGTACCATAATTTATGTAACTACTCCCTCTGAGGGAATTTTTTTAAATTATGCTATTATAAATCTGTAGTGAATAATCTTGTACAAACGTCACTTTGTGCAAGCATATCTGTAGGGTAAGTTCTCAACATTAGAAAGCATTTGAATCCAATAATCTAAGAATGATAATCACAAAATTGTAGAAAGTGCTAACTGACGAAGGAAAGAAAAACCAGCGTACATTTTGCTTCTCGATCTTTTTGCCCGTGTTCTTTTTTTCACACTTTCAGGCTTCTAATTTCTGCTGCCCTGTTTTTGCATGAGGTTTGTCTCTTCTTGACTGCAAAATTATTTTCAGTAATTCCAAAGCTAATTCTTGGCTGCTTTCAGTATCTTCTTTGCAGAAGTCTTAGAGTAGTTAACCTAGTAAGAATAAGAATTTGAGAATTGGATGAGATTTTTTTTTCACACCTATACAATGGCAGACATTAAATGAATATATCTAAAGAGCAGTAAGTTTTACAAGGTCTCAGTTGTTTATGTTACTTTAGTTAAAGCTCACCATTTATTTCATCTGATACTACAAAGCACTTATTTCAAGATTTCATATTTTATAGCAGTGCAATGTAATTCTCTGCTTCATACTCAAAATTTAGTACCTCCTCAATTTTTCTTTTCTTTTTTTTTTTTTTTTTTTTTTTTTTGGTAAGTTTTTTTTTTTTTTTTTTTTGGTGGGAAAGGTTAACCTATGGTTTCAAGCCAACTTCAGTGAGTCAGAAATTTCCTTTGGAAAGGAGGGGTTTTTATTGCTCTTTGAAATTCATCAAACTAAATTGAAAGGCTTTGGATTTTATATGATTTTGCTCATAACAAATTTTTGACACCTCCTTTTCCCCTTTCCTCAATATTTGAGATTTTTTTTTCTATTGTGCATGATAGAGGAATGCTGCTAAGCTTGCAAGTGATTAACTTAAAATTGCTGTGAGTAATTCTGCTCTTTTGGCTTTTTGTACCTAATCAGAATTGATGTGACTGAAGTGCAAATCTTCATAATAATCATGCATTTGCTGGCAGTGATTGGAGGACCACCTTTTTGGCAATCTATGGTAACTTTGTTCACATTATATATCCCATGTAATGCATGTTCTCTTTTGCTTGTGTTTTCTAATATGGGATAATCCAGTTAAAGGGTAATGTGTGCAATTCTTTTATTTTTTCTGAACACGAAAAGTCATAGCAGTGTTAGAACCCAACTTATCTTTAGAGCATCGTATATTTTACTACTTGGAGTTAAGTGGAACTTTAAAACTATTCCAGAGCTGTTATTTGTAAAGGCCATTGAGAATCTGAATTAGTATTGTCATCCCATTTTACAGATGAGGAAACAGCAGATAATATAACAAGTATCTGCTTGATACTCAAAATTTATTTTGACAAGATTAAATTAGACCTTTTATTCTGTTTCTTAACTACATGAGTCTACTAGTTTGTCTGTCATATACTTAAAACTGAATAACAAATATAAGATTGTAAATTAACTCTGGCTCCAAAACAGGATAATGCCTGTTGAATGAAATCAGTGCCATGGGATTGTTTGAACAAGGTTGGACCTTGATTTCCAGGTCTACCTGAAATGTAGTCACTTCTACAAAAACAGATTCTTTTCCACAAACCTCTGAGGTAGGGAGTAAAATATGGGGGCCAAGAACACAAGCTCTGGAACCAGACTCTGCATTTGACCCAGGCTCCACTGCCAACTGTGTGAACTTAATGTGTCGTATAACTTTCTCTGGCTTAGTTTCCTCCTCTGTAAAATGAAGTCATTAATAGTACCTATCTAATAAAGTTATTTTGTGCATTAAATGAGTTAATATATTGTGTAAAGCACTTAGAATAGTGCCTATCAAGTAATAAGGACTCGATAAAAGTTGTTGCTGCTCTTACAGGTTTAATATATTCTTTCATATTTGGGTTGTCATAGTTTGTACTCCCCTGGTCATTAGTTAACTCTCAGTCACTACCATCACCCCTTCAAAATATAGTATTTATCATTCATTTGGTGAAATCTTACCTAAAAAATAATTTGCTAGGCCTAAATTAATGTAATTCTTAAAAATCAGATTAATTTTAAAGTATAGCCGGGCGCGGTGGCTCACGCCTGTAATCCCAGCACTTTGGGAGGCCGAGGCGGGTGGATCACGAGGTCAAGAGATCGAGACCATCCTGGTCAACACGGTGAAACCCTGTCTCTACTAAAAATACAAAAAATTAGCTGGGCATGGTGGCGCGTGCCTGTAATCCCAGCTACTCAGGAGGCTGAGGCAGGGGAATTGCCTGAGCCCAGGAGGCGGAGGTTGCGGTGAGCCGAGATCGCGCCATTGCACTCCAGCCTGGGTAACAAGAGCGAAACTCCGTCTCAAAAAAAAAAATAAAGTATAAGGGAAATTTACTGAGCAACATTTTCTCCTTACCTAACTCACTTTAGGATGGCAAATTAGGTACTTGAGGAAGTGTAATTGATACACTGCCCGAAGTATTTATTGCTAGAAATAAATTGTTAAGTATCTTTTTGTTGGGAAGGTGAGACTATGAGGGGCGAGGAGATGAAGGAATAAAAATAATCCACAGTCAGCTGGAAAAATTCTGAAACTATTCAGTATGTACATAATACCATTTATTTATATATCTTAGATTTCAATATAGAGGCCCTATTGCCTTTTGAGACTAATGTGTAGGAAATATGAAATTTATTACTTTTACTCTTCAGTAGATTAGGTTTTTTTTTAATAAAAATTTTCCCTCATAGGAAGGAAAAAATAGTTTTTGTTGTCCTGAAACCAGATCATAAAGCCCAAAGCTTATCCCGTTCCAACTTAAAGTTTTTATATCCCTTGACTACATTGATTATTATTTTTATAAGCCTTGTATACCAAAATTTTCCCCCCAAAATTATTTATAATATCTTGTACGTAAAGTTTCACTAGATCAATATCCAAAAAGCAGTATTTCTGGCTTGATTACTGGAAAACAAGTCGGTGTTTGGTTTATACAGGGTAAGTATCCCTTGTCTAAAATTCTTAGGACCAGTATTTCAGATTTCAGATGTTTTCAGATTTTACAATATTTGCATATACATAATGAGATATCTTGGTATCTTGAGATACCAAGTCCAAACATGAAATTTATTTTCATATACACCTTATACGCATTGCCTAAAGGTAATTTTATACAATATTTTAAATAAATTTCTGCATGAAACAAAGTTTGTATGTTTTGAACCATCAGAAAGCAAAAGCATTTCTATCTCAGGCACCCATGTGGATAATCTGTGGTTTGGCATCACTAACTCTGAATTTACATACTACTGTTCAACAATCATTTTCTAATACTTATTCACACATAGATATATTCAGCAAAAAAATAAGACATCTCATTAGTACAGTGAAGAGATAATGTGTTCAGGGTAGCGAAGTGGCACAGTAGCATCACCAGAATACCTGTGTGTTATCACTGTTAACCAAAAAATATCTGCAGGACTTTTTGACATTTTCAACAATATCTTTACACCACAAAGCAGAGAATAAGCAAAAAACAAAAACAAAATTAAAAAGCAGTAATGCACTTGGTTCTTGGCCCCATGTCAGGCGTTGTGGAGAACCTGTTGTTGTATTGTCCAGCCTGCACAATGCCATTTTATTAACCTTTGTGGATATACTTACGTGATAGGACATGGGTCTGTGCGAAAAAAAACAGATCACAGCTGAAGGGAGCTGGGAGGGTCATTTTTCCCTTGGAGATGCCGAATAAACTTTTGTGCACCTACCTTTTGACTTCGACCTGTCACATAAGATCAAATGTGGAATTTTCCACTTGTGGTGTCACATTGGCACTCAAGTTTTAGAATTTGTAACATTTTAGATTTCAGATTTTCAGATTAGGGATGCTCAACATGTGTGCCTAATTATTTTTTATAAATATGGAAATGCATAAAACATTGTAAATGAAGTTGTCTGTACACATTATACACATATCCTTATTTCTTAGATGATGCCTGATAGTAAATTGCTTCAAGTATAGTTTTTACCTTTTTCTATTAGGATTTACACATATAATCTACACATGTACATAGTCTACATAATTTTTTTCTTTTATAAAGATCAAATGTTTTGTTCTATTTTGTAATTAACGTAACCATCCTATTATCTGAGGAAGTCTCAGATTCACAACTGAAATGGAGTTCCTAGACCCAGTAACCTAGCAATCTAATTCCAGGATTAGTGAGCTTAGGTTTCATCAGGAAAACAGATTCTCCCCCTGTCCCTTCATCCTGTTGTTAGCACATTGGTCCCACTGTTAGCATCTTTAAACTAAAAGGGAACAACCTGACTTCTCTGGTACTGTATTTGGAGACTTAGTGAAATATTCTGTTTTTTTCTTTTTTATCAACTCCTAAAACAGATTCCCATAATTGACCTCAGATCGCTATATTGTTTTTTTCTTTTTACTTAGTATTATGGGTTGATTACCAAATATGCTGTTTTGAATCGCATTACATTAGTAAAGGAACAATTACTACATATTGAGCTCTCATTTACTTGTGTGCCAAATGGAGAAACGATATTTACCTAGGGCTCAGGTATGAAATTTACATCTCTTCTAAGATGGAGGCCATAAAATGGAAATTCCTTTCCAAATCCTCATTAAATTAAAAGGCTTTTACTGACATTTAGAAAGCAAGTTTATGGTCAGAATAAATAAAAACAGTGCAAATGTCTTCATTAAGGCTGATTCCAGAAGATCAGCTATTTTGTAAAGGTAAGTAATTTGCATCTATTACATATGGAGTACCTATTCTTTGCCAGTTTTTTTCCCCAAAGAGGTAAGTTTTTACCAAAGGTTATAGTTAATGTTGTTGTTGTTGTTGTTTTCCCTTTTCTTTCCAAAGGAAAGAAATTGTCTTCATGCCTAAAAGTCAGTGCTTGTTTTATACTTTGCAAGAAACAAAAAGCATATTTTTTGTTTGTTGCTTCCCCAAAAGACATTCCTTCTAGAATGTCTTGGAACTATCTTCTATCATATCACTCTTCAAAAAAAGAAAAAGAATATGTTCTTACTTTGGAAGAGACTTACATATAACCAACTCATGGTTATGTTTGATTCTTTTAAATGTGGTAATTGATCAAATTATATTAAGCCACAAGGGACTTTCTGGAATTCAGTTAAGGCAACTAGGTGAGTGTTACTACAGTTTCAGGATTCATTTGGTCAGACCAAAGACTATGTAGTATAAATTGATTATATCTTATTCTTGAACTATAAGACTTTAAAATGCCTTTACACTTAAATAAATCTGATATGTTCATTTTCCTTGGTGGACACTGTAATTATGTTAACACTTGCTGTATTTTGGTGGAATTCATTTACATTAAAATGATTGACAAACAGGTGTTCCCACATTCTTTGGAAGAAAGTGTCTAATCTCAAAATGATACTTTTTATTTCTGCTCTAATTTACAAAGCCTATAAGAACATTTTATCATGCTTATAAGAAAACTAGTCAAAGTTTACTAACTGATATTCTGCATTAATACAAACTGTTGAACCAAAACTTGACCATTGTAATATGGTAAAGATACTGATAATTTTAAGATTTTCTTTTTTTTAATCTCCAACCTTTTTAAAAGTGAATTATATTACATTGTTATTTGGATGCATACCTTTGTGGTATGAGTCTGGAGAGTTTTCTCCTGGCTATAGGACAGACACCATGACCCAAAGGAAATCTTACTCTTCCCAACTCTTGAAGACTATTGAAACTTCAAGCAGGCCTGACATAAAGATGTCTTTGGTATAGCTCTTTGGCTATTTCTAAAGCGCGGATGCACTTTGGCCACCTTTGATGAGTTCCAAGATGATGACAGAAAGAAAAAGGTTGGGAAAGACAGAATGTCCCCATCCTTTGTGACCTCGGGGAAAGACAGAATGTGCCACCCTCCTTGATCTTGAGTGTGGGATGAGAATGGCAACACTTTGTGTTTTTTTTATAAGTAGTGCCAATTTTTAAAGGATCACCTGGTGAGGCTCGGAATTCCTTTGACTCGAGCTTTCCCTTCACTTTGCCTCGTATTTTCTTGATAGATAACTTTCTTTTTCATTGCTAATGTGGGGGCAGGGTGTTACTTCATGTTCTCCCAAAGCAGAGTTCTACATGGAAAGTAAAAAAAAAAAAAGGGAGGAGATCTCAATCTTCATTCAACAAATGTGTATTGAACACCTACAGTAACCAGGGCCCTAGAGAGAATATAAAATCAGTTCAAACAAAATCCCATACTTAGGAGCTTATGTTTTGGTATATATAGCTAACATATATGACAGAAGTGATGAAAACCTTAAGAATCTGTGATACTTTGCTTCTAGGCCAATAGCTTGCTTCCTTACTTTGTTGTGATCCAAGCCATGTACTAATTTTTCTGGCTTTTCTAATGTTTGTGCTTATTATTCTTTCAAAAGGCAGCTGTTTTTATGATCCCAAAACAATTTCACCAAGGTATAAATATAGTTATGACTCTCATTCAGTTCATTTATGACATAGATGACTATTATACAAAGATGGTATTCATTTAGTACCCTGGCCCTAATACAGGGCTGCCCCTGTAATGGAGTAATGCTTTGCTTCTTTTGGAATCTGAGGAAAGTATAGTCTTTTCCCCTTTGCCAGAGTGATCCTTTGTCTCGAGTCAAAAGTCGGAGGGATGGTAAGAGAGGCTGAGAACCAGGAAACTAGCCACAGTATTGAGTTTCAGCCAGGTGCATCAGATTGAGAATATAATGTCCCTAGTTTATTGAACAAGAGCAGAAAAATATCTTGGAGTTCAAAGCAACCATGTTGTTGATTTTCTCCGTTATTGAAAACGAGTTTTGAACTTAGACTGTAGGGGTTGGAGATTTAGGGATAGAGGATGACCATTTAGGATACTCCATAAAGTTTAGGACTTGACTTTTAGGTTGACCTATTTAATTTTATAAAATTTAATACTGCTACAGTACAACTTAAACTTGAATATTTTATTTTAATTTTTGTAGAGCTGCATTTTTGCAAGAGGTAATAGAATTATGCAAACAAAGTGAGCTCTTGAGAGTTTTGAAGAAATGAAATATGAAACATTACGATTTAGATCTACTAATCTTACTGAGGTTTTCTATATACAAAAAAGTAGGAAATGCCACATTTGCTATTTGATTTTCAAAGTGTAGACAGGTGACAGCCCTACAAAGTATAAATAGCCCTAATATAAAATGTTTTTATTGCGGCTGGGCATGGTGGCTCACACCTGTAATCCCAGCACTTTGGGAGGCTGAGGCCAGTGGATCACTTGAGGTCAAGAGTTGGCCAACATGGTGAAACCCCATGCCTACTAAAAATACAAAAGTTAGCCAGGTATGGTGGCAGGCGCCTATAATCCCAGCTACTCAGGAGGCCGAGGCAGGAGAATCACTTGAACCCGGGAGGTGGAGGTTGCAGTAAATGAGGATTACACCACTGTACTTCAGCCTGGGCAACAGAGCAAGACTATCTCAATTAAAAAAAAAAAAAAGTTTTCATTGTAAGAACTCATGGCTTATTAAACCATTGGGGGCTTTTGGAATCTTGCTTCTATTACTAGACTACATCATTTATTTTACTGTTGCTTTCTGTTCAATCCATATTGGACAAATATTGAGACCAAAAAAGCTAAGGGAGGGGTGAAAAAAAAAGAGACTCTTAAATTATTTTTAAAATTCAGTACAAGTATATTTCATTTTAAATGATGGATATTGTATTTGCAAGATTAAATGCATAATATCAATCCACTCTCTCTCCCATACTTCAGGTAAATAAATCCGCATTTTCAGTATGCTTTATGAATATATTATTCACTTTTCTGAAAAGTACATTTAAATGTTAAAATTTTGGATGCACAATAGTAGAATCTGTTTGAATGTACTTGACCTGTTTTTTCTCCTGCATATGAATGCCTTCTTAGTTGCCCTCTGCTTTTACTACCTGCTTGTATCCTAACAATTTGGAGTTGGGAACTCTTCTGAATATAAATTTTCTATTCTCTACACTCTGCAGATTTGTATATCTAGTTGCAACATTTCTATTATGCTTGATACTTCCTCATAACAATTATGAATGTTCTACAGATTTAGAGATAGAATTAAAAAACATATACAAAGAAAAAGGCAAGGTACCCTCCTTTTATTAAAAGGCCAGAAGACATCCTGGTTCACTGTTGGGAGACCACTGGGATGCATTAGGTGAATCTAACTTAGCTTGTAACACAAGTTAATAAAGTTGAATCAGTTTTTTTTAAGGTTGATGTCAGAAGTGAGATTAATTTCTAAATAGTCTCATGTCTTGAGACTTGCTGTATTGCTTATAATGAAAAGGAAACTTTTATTACTTTACATATTTCTTAAATAGGGAATGGAAAGTTTTGGGGAAAATGAATCAAATATTAGACTGTTTTCTTATTTTAGTTCGTATATGTTTTAATTGTTTTCTCTCTCTACCCATTAAAGATTCCAGTGCTGAATATTCAAATGAAAATTTTTCCTGCACTTTGTACTGTAGCAGGGACCATATTTTCCTGTACAAATTACTTCCGTGTAATCTTCACAGGTGGTGTTGGCAAAAATGGATCAACGATAGCAGTAAGTATGCATTAAGATTTTCAACACCGTTTACTCTAGGACTTGGTTTTGTTGTCACTTTGTTTTTTATTTCAAATGTATAACATCATTTAATTTAGAATTTATATTTAGCCTTTAAAGAAACTAATGTTCCAAACTTCAATTTTATATATACTTACCCACATTTATATGCTTATGTATGCATACTTTTATGCATACACAAACACACTTAATCACATGTTTTTTAAAGCATGAGCTGCTTTGTAAAAATAAGCCTGGTCTCTTAAGTGAACTCCTCAGTTTGTGCCTATTCAATTTATGCTGCTGCTTTTCATTAGCTCTTCTGGTTTGTGATTTATAGAAATTGCTATATGAAAGTAATTTGTGCCTGTCAGACATCATGAGGTTCCTGAAAGTTTGGGTTGAACTATTCTGCAGCAGATCCATGTAGTATGTGATGAGTACTGAATACTATTAACTCTTCTCTTCACTCTGTACAGGGAACAAGTGTCCTTTCACCTTTTCTCCATATTGGATCAGTGATTACATTAGCTGCAATGATCTACAAAAAATCCGCAGTTCAGCTTTTTGAAAAGCATCCCTGTCTTTATATACTGACATTTGGTTTTGTATCTGCTAAAATCACTAATAAGCTTGTGGTAAGCACCTGAGTTTTTATTTATTTTGTTTTTCACATTCATCTTATTCTGGTTTTATGGCCATAATTCTGTATCTTCCTAAATGGGTCTAGAGTTTGCTCTCCTCTAATCAGAATCTCTTGATATCAACATGGGAACTATTTTTACTGTTTCGTGAAGCTACAATTTGAAGTTACTGGAAGTTCTTGGAAAATGTACAATTTCTCACCCTTTTATACTGTTTAATTTGGTTGTTCAGTTTATCTACATTCTTCAGTCTCAATCTGGACACTCAAATTAAGGCTTCTTGTAAAAGTATCTTTTGTAGAGTTAGTTGACATGATATATCCCTTTCTTTCTCAGACACATTTCATGTTGTTGGGTTTTTAGTTTTGGCAATTCAACAGCTATTCCTAAATAATTACTGAAAGTTGATATCTGAGCACAATATAATTTACTATGTAGCTCACGATTGTTCTCATATGAATGCATACATTATTCTGTTTTATTCATAGGTTGCACACATGACGAAAAGTGAAATGCATTTGCATGACACAGCATTCATAGGTCCGGCACTTTTGTTTCTGGACCAGTATTTTAACAGCTTTATTGATGAATATATTGTACTTTGGATTGCCCTGGTAGGTATTGTACTATGTCTTATTTCATGGTTTGAGGGTTTGAAGTTTACTTGTTTTCTTATTTTGATGAGACAGTCATGATAGATAGATCATATAATTGTAATGATTTGGAATGTCAGAAATCCACATAAATGGAGCTATGTGAGAGTTCTGTAGCTTTATATTTGAGCCTTTTATTTTATTTTTGCATTAATCTTATTAGTCCTGCCTACATCAGGTGGGACTCATAAATTGCAAATTTCTGACTGAGTAAAAAAGCATGAATTGGCATACTACACCCTGTGGGCCCATAGCCTGTTTTGGTAAATACAGTTATTGAAACACAGCTATGGCCATCCATTTATATATTGTCTATGGCTGGTTTCGTGCTGCAGTGGCAGAGTTAAGCAACTGTGACAAACACAATACGGCCCACAAAGCTTACAATATTTGCCATCTGACCTCTAAGAAAGAGTTTGTGTGTGAAGGAAAAATTGTGAGGAAATTGAATTATTGTACAGAGTGGAAGGAGAATCTGCAAAGAGAACAGATTCAACCCCTCTTTACTTTCAGGAAACTTAGCCCAAACGAGTGCTGAGAATGTCTCTTTTTATTTCCAGGTTTTTTCTTTCTTTGATTTGATCCGCTACTGTGTCAGTGTTTGCAATCAGATTGCGTCTCACCTGCACATACATGTCTTCAGAATCAAGGTCTCTACAGCTCATCCTAATCATCATTAATGATGTAATTGGTATTATATAGGAACACCATGTTTTCTGCAGGAAAGAATCTGAACATATTAAGGAGAATGGGGGTGCATAAGAACAAATATAATTTATAATAATCAATGTTGTATAACTTTTATTCTTTATTATTGGTAACGCTCCCTAACTATCCTGTGTGAGAATGGGAATTTCAAATCCCATCCTGTAAATTGTATGTTGTCATGCAGGGTTTGGGCCAAGAAAGCATGGAGAAAACAATGCCATGTGATTGTAATTATCCTGGACTCAGAATAATAATATGATGGGGAGCTAGATCCCCGGTGGTGGAGAATTCTGATATTCACTATTTGCAGGCCAAAAGATGATTGCTTTATAATTTTAACAAATCATCTGTTAGTAACATCCTTGTTTAGTGTCTTCTCAAGTTTTCTTTACTAAGGAGTTCTGCTTGTGACACAGATACATCCCACTAGCTTATGAGGTGGAACCAGTAATAAAGACCTTGAATTTGGATTGAAAGGTTTCCTATCTCTACATTGTTGAGGAAGTCTTTTTTTTTTTTTTTTTTTTTTTTTTTTATTGGTCAATAAATGTTATCTCTCACAGGCTTGGGAAATCCTGTTAGCATGCAGAATAATGTGGTAACTTTGTCAATTTCCCATTTTATTTTTTTAAATAAATATATGATATGAAAGCCAATTTTTTCTCAGTTTTATTCAGTGGAAAGATAAACTAAGTTTTAATGTTTTTTTTTGAATTTAAGCAAACTTTATTTCTGTTCTTTAATAAATAAGAAAACTTGGTCCACTGCATTGTTGTGATATGTCTTGTGACCTTTCTATTTTGTAGAAACTTTAACTTTTTATTTTATTTATATATATATATATGTGTGTGTGTGTGTGTGTGCGCATATATATATATATATATATATAAAATTACATTTTAGGTTCTGGGGTATATGTAAAGAACATGCAGGATTGTTGCATAGGTACATACATGGCACTGTGGTTTGCTGCCTCCCTCGCCATCACCTATATCTGGCATTTCTCCCCATGTTATCCCTCCCCAACTCCCTACCCCAATTCTCTCTCCCTTAATCCCCCCGGCAACAGACCTCAGTGTGTGATGCTCCCCTCCCTGTGTTCATGTGTTCTCATTGTTCAACACCTGCCTATGAGTGAGAACATGCAGTGCTTGATTCTCTGTCCCTGTGTCAGTTTGCTGAGAATGATGGTTTCCAGGTTCATCCATGTCCCTACAAAGGACACGAACTCATCATTTTTTATGGCTGCATAGTATTCCATGGTGTATATGTGCCACATTTTCCCTGTCCAGTCTAACATCAATGGGCATTTGGGTTGGTTCCAAGTCTTTGCTACTGTAAACAGTGCTGCAATGTACCTACATGTGCATCTGTCCTTTTTTTTTTTTTATTGCATTTTAGGTTTTAGGGTACATGTGAAGGACATGGAAGATTGTTGCACAGGTACACACATGGCAGTGTGATTTGCTGGCTTCCTCCCCATCACCTATATCTGGCATTTCTCACCATGCCATCTCTCCCTAACTCCCCACTCCCCGCTGTCCCTCCCCTATTTTCCCCCAACAGACCCCAGTGTGTGATGCTCCCCTCCCTGTTTCCATGTGTTCTCATTGTTCATCTCCCACCTATGAGTTAGAACATGTGGTGTTTGATTTTCTGCTCATGTGTCCTTATAACAGAACGATTTATAATCCTTTGGATATATACCCAGTAATGGGATTGCTGGGTCAAATGGAATTTCTTTTTCTAGGTCTTCCACAATGGTTGAACTAGTTTACACTCCCAGCAACAGTGTAAAAGTGTTCCTATTTCTCCACATCCTCTCCAGCAGTTCTCATGTTGTCTCTTTTGATCAATTCACTTATATTCCTCTCTATGTTGTTTATTCTCGTTAGCATTTTGTCAAACCTTTTTTCAATTTTCTTAGTTTCTTTGCATTGGGTTAGAACATGATCTGTTAGCTCATAGAAGTTTGTTATTACCTACCTTCTGAAGCCTGTTTCTGTCAGCTCATCAGACTCATTCTCCAGCCTTGTTCCCTTCCTGGTGAGGAGTTGTGATCCCTTGGAGGAGGAAAGGTGTTCTGGTTTTGGGTATTTTCATCCTTTTTGTGCTGGTTTCTTCCCATCTTTGTGGATTTATCTACCTGTGGTTTTTGTGGTTGGTGATTTTCAGATGGGGTCTCTGAGTGGATGTCCTTTTTGTTGCTGATGAAGGTATCTCTTTCTGTTTCTTAGTTTTCTTTCTAACAGGCCCCCCTGCTGTAGGACTGCTGGAGGTCCACTCCAGACCCTGCTTGCCTGGGGATCACCTGCAGCGGCTGCAGAACAGTAAGGGTTGCTGCCTGTTTCTTCTTCTGTTATCTTTGTCTCAGAAGGATACCCATCAGATGTCAGCCTGAGCTCTCCTTTAAGAGGGGTCTCTTTGGTTATACAGGGGTCGGGGATCTGCTTGAGGAGATAGTCTGTCCCTTATAGGAGCTCAAGTGCTAAGCTGTGAGCTATGTTGGTCTGTTCAGAGCTGCTGGGCAGGTATGTTTAATTCTGCTACTGCAGAACTCATAACCACTTTTTTTCCCAGGTGCTCTGTCCCAGGAAGGTGGGGCTTTATTATAAGTTCCTGTCATTCTGCTGCCTTTTTTCAGGGATGCCCTGCTGAGTGAGGAGTTAGCCTAGTCACAGTCTGCCAACAGAGGTGTTGCTGAGCTACCATGGGCTCTGCCCAACTGCTGTGTGAACTTCCTGGCGGTTTTGTTTATAGGGATATAGTTGGAACTGCCTCAGTAATGGCAGACTGTCTCTGTAATGGCAGACTGCCTTGGTAGTGGTGGACTGCCTCAGTAATGGCGGATGCCCTTCCCCCACAGAGCTGGACCGTCCCGGGTCCAGCTATGCTTGCTGTGAAACTCTCAATCCAGAGTGTTTCAGACTGCTGGTCTTTGTGGGAGTGGGACCAGCCAAGCCAGATAGATCACCTGGCTCCATTTCAGCCCCTTTTTTTCCAGTTGAATGGGCGACTCTGTCTCCCAGGCGTTCCAGTCACCAGTTGAAATGGCGCCCGGAATTGTGTGAGTTTTAATGCGGGGACCCGCTACACTGACTGAAACAGCTGCACTGGAGACTCGTGGCCCTTTTCCATCTGGGAATCTCCTGGTCTGTGGGCAGTAAAATTTGTTTGGAAATGTGGTGATCACTCACCCTCTGTGTTTTCACTGGAAACTGCAATCCAGAGCTGTTCCTATTCAGCCATCTTGGATCCAGAACCAAAACTTTTAACTTTTAAAAGAAGAACTTTGTTCATCTTTCCTGTTAATGGGTTTTTAATGTTATAGTCTTCACTTACGTGATTTTGTCAGTCACTTAGAAATCTCAACCCCTTCCCCTAAATTTTCAGCAAGTGCCTGGGCCTCTCTACGTGTTCCCTTTGTACTCTCTTTTTCTGGCACTCTCCTTTTTTGGTATCTGGACTATAGTTTGAAATGGGAACCAGATATGTTTCCACTGTATACAGGTAATTCAGTTGCTTGAATAAGAGGGACACAGGAGAAAAGATTTAAACTATTGGCTAAAATGAGGTGTCTTATTATTGATTTTCATCTATATCCTGTTCCATAGTAGGAATAAACAGTGGCTACACCATCTTACATGGCAACCAGAGTGCTGCTTGCATGCACTTTTAATGATTCCATCAGGCCCATGTAGATTGGATTAGCAAGGAGAGGTAAACCTTTAATTCGTTGGCCAGACTATAGTGGGAAATGAAAGTCTGTCGTTACCTTTCCTTGCTAGCAATTGCTCTAGCATCTGATATAGAGAAATACATACGGGAAAATATTAGGGCAGATCAAACATTGAAAGCTAGGACAAAGCAGGACAGAGAAGGAAGGATGATTCTACTTGTTTGGCACAGTTACATCAGCTGTCTTACTGACACATCAGGTATTATCTATAGTGGAAATTGAGGACTGGAGAGGCTAAATGGCATGCCAGTGTCAGTTGCTATTTTTTCAGAACAAAAATTAGAATCCAAGTCTGAATGCTGGTGAAGTGTTCTCTCCTATACTATACTGGGCTTTAGTGGTCTAAAGCTGTAAAGCAAGATGTTGGGGGCTAATTGAAATGTGTGTATTCTCCCAGATTTTTTTCAGCATAGATGGAAGCTGAAAAGCACTCAGATATTTAGTGTGTGTATCCTTCATCCCTAAATACACCATTAGCATCAGATCAAGGGTACATTTGTAGTAAACCTCAGCAAACCTTACCTGAAGAACCTTTTAAGAAAGTACAGATTTCCAGGTCCTATCACTAGAGATGATTCAGTATATTTGGGATGAGGCATAAGAAAGTATTTTCACAAGATTCTCAGGATTCCAGTTCCTGTTCTGAAACCTTTGGAGTTACAACTATATTTAGGCACCACCATAAACTACCGAAAAAGATGTAATTCCTAGAAGCTGTGAAGAACAGCAGTGTAGCTCAGGATGGTGTGTGGACAGTGGGACATCTGCCACCTGCAGTAGGTCCCTGTGCTCCCAAAATCAAATTACATTGACTTTAACTTCAGTTTGTCTTATTCCATCCTCCAGAAACTTTTGTGTTCTTTGTACAGAATTCAGGAACTTCTGAGGGCCACACTCAAATACATTAAAAAGGTGGAATTTTTGAAAATAAGATTCATCTAAAAAAGCTTCCCAATGCTTGAGTAGAAACTATCAGTGGAGGTATCAAGGGAGGAGAGACGAGGTGACCACTAAACTCCTTCAGACTCTTAAAATTACAATTATTTTCTCAAAGGGGAAGAACATCAGTGCAGAGATCCCTTCACTTTTAGCTAAAGAACTGTGCTACTCAAAGATCAGTTGGAGGTAGGATATCTAAGACTGAAGGTAAAGGACTCGTGCAAACTGAAAGTGATGGGGAAAGAGACCTACTTATGGAAGCCAAGTAGTGTTCTTCACTGGCTGCTTTTGACTGAAATTCCTATCCTCAAATTATTCAAAACTGAAGCTGCTTCCCTTCAGTGAGCAGACTCTCCTCCCAGGATTCGGAAAGCACACCTGACTCCAAACCTAAGCCTCTGATGCCCTGTGTCCAGTGCTGCTGCTGCTGCTTTTACCAATCTTTTACCCTTCCTGTTAAAAGAAGTGGAGCTACTGCCCCCCATGATTCTGTTACTCCAAACATATCCCCAGGTTCAGGACGACCATGGCCAGGTCCTCCATTTCTAGTCCACTTGATTCTTATATGTATTGCCTTATTTACCTGGTCCTCCACCCATAGTAAAAGACGAAGACGCACATAAACATAATATTTTCCTCTTTACTCATCCTTACATGTCCACAGACTTCATGTGGAGAGGCTGAGCCTTTTAACCACAAAGTGCGTTCTCTGTTGAAGATGTTACAACGATGGGAGAGGGCAGTTGCAGCAGCTTCTAACCAAGTATATACAATACCTGTACTACTGTTTCCTACTCTGTGTCACCTCTGCAAAAAATGCAGCTCTGAGCCCAGTTCTGTGAGCATGGTGTCAGAGCCCTCCAAAGCCCCAAGAAATTTGATACCAGGGATCCAAATCTCAGACACCAGTTTTAAGCAATACCTGGATGTCAAGACTTAGATTGAGGTAATGGATTGGGGGGCTGAGAACTTTGCTGA